GGGTGCTTCTCTCCCCAACGATTGCTATTGTTGTTTTTTTTTTTGTTGCTCCACACACATTTTATGCTCATTTTCATGCATCGCCTTCTCCTTTCCATTAAAAATTATAGTATTCAAATAAAATAAACAACAAATACACCTACAACAAAACAGTACGTGCGCAGTAGTACCTGCTCTGTCTGCTAGACTCCGTAGGAACTTTCTGGCATCGAAACACTGCAGAGACCTGCGCACCACAAACAGCAGCAGTTCATGAATTTTTGAATATTTTCTTTTTTTTTGTAATCTGCTTTTGGACTTCCATGAGCGGTCATAAAAAATCTCGTTGTAACTGCGGCCATGGCACATCGCACAAAGGCGTGGCCACTCGGCACTTCACTCATTCACTCAGCTCACTCGCAAGTCACTCAATTAAGTCAAGCGTTCTTAATCCACTCATCGTTGCAATATTTTCCGTTCCGTTATTGCTGTTCGCGGAGCGTTTGGAGTGTTGTTTATTATTGCGTGGCTAACGGGTATATTCTCGTTGGCTTAACGTGGCCCCGCAAGCTTCACCCAAATTCAATGTCCATGGTGTGGTGAATTATTTTATGGCACTCTAGTTAGTTACTCTAACCAGTTCATGGCTACAGGCAATGTTGCTGTGTGTTCGTATGTAATTATGGACTCACTGTGACTAAGGTGGTTTTTTTCTTGTGAAGTGTTTCATTTTGAACTTATTGTCAGCGCTTTTAATGCCACTTGTCTGGATGCATGTGGATGCGCAAAGGAGAAGTGGAGGTTAGTCAGTCATTCGAATATAAGGATGAGTAGATGATAAGTAAATGGTTTGAAGAAATCTGTTGGTTTACTTTACTGTATGTGCATACTATATGTTTGAGTGATCATTTTAGAGCCTGACCGAAAATCGCTATGAAATGCGCTAAATGTTTTTATAGGCAGAAAAAATATTTCATATCAAATGAAAGACAATTTTTCACTGATCTGTCATGAATATTTTGAGCTAAAAATTTTTAAAATAATAAATTTATGTACTAACAAAAATAGGATCCACCCAGATTTCTTAGCTATCACAAGTTTAGAACTTTTTTGAAGTGAAACTTCTTTAACGGACGTTGGTTGGTTGGGAGTAAATTGGCAAATTCAACGGAAATCGCACACGGAAATGGTGCAACGGAAATGGTTGGGGCTGAAACAAGTGCTTCTTGGATGTATGTTATTAATTTAACAAAAACTTGCTAATAAATGGTTAAAGAATAACACTTTTAAAAAGGCAAATACTAGAGTGAAAGGAAGGGTGAGTACGTACATAGATAAAGGAAAGTATATACACTGAGAAAAGAGTTTAGTTACAACAACTAAAAATGTTTCTCTCAATACGTGATTTGGTTATAGTTACACGATTTGGTTACAGTTACCAAATCTTGTGTTGAGAGAAATATATTTGGCTGCCTTTTTTCTGAGGGTAGGCAAAGATAAAAAGAAAAACTAAAACAAAGATGCGTAAAGATTAAGGCAAAAATGAAGATCAAAGTAAATTTATGCACTTTACTCGGGACTTATCGATATAATAATCGATATTTATATCGGTTTTGTTATCGATTTTGTTATCGATATTTTTATCGAACTTTGAGTGTAGAGAAACTCTGTTATGCGCCTTCCTTGATATTGAGGGAGCCTTCGACAACACATCACATAATGGGATTTTTCAGGCACTTGAGGAACGAATGGTGCATCCAACTATACGTAAATGGATAGCTGAACTGATATGATGGGATGCAGGCGTTTAGCAGGCAAGACCAGCGGGTGCAACCCAAGGATGCTCAGATCAGAGCTCGAAAAAGCAAAATTTCGGATAAAATATATTACCTCAAACGAGAAATTTGAAAAACAAATTTTTTTAAGTTTCTTTTTTTATTTTAATCTTCAATCGTAATCATTTTTTAGGCTTGCACAGGGTATGTAGATACTATGAATGTATGTATGTATGCCAAATCGAACTTTCTGATACTACTTTTCATTTCATTTTAAACTGCATAACCAGACATTTGTATTTGTATTTACTTCTCCGAGCGCCCTCGCTTGACTTGAATCGTTCTAGCGAAGCAGTCAATGGCACTGTGAATATTCTTCGAAATTATAGCGAAAATGCTGACACATTTTTCTGATATATTTTCAAAACCGATATCGCTAAAAAATTGGATCTTGACATGGTCCTTCCTCGGAGAGCGAATAGACAAAATTTTCGGGCTAGTTATATAGCGTCTAACGCGAAGATTATTATCTAAAGGCAATATTTATACCGCTATTGGATAATATTTTGCTCGATCTCCGAGAAAGATTGCCGAAAGAGACATTAAACATTTTTGATTTGAACTTATTACCTCCATCTAAAAATGGGGAATCATTATATAAATAGGCAATCATGTTTCCTTTACACCCCTTTTACGGCTAAACTATACTTCTAAGGTATAAACAATTATATATCATTAGAAAGGTATTTTGATGCTGATGTGCAGTCAATTTTTCAAATTTCAAATTAGTTTAAAATAGAGCGAAAAAATCAATTCAAAAGTCACACCAATACCAATGCCATACATGTACATGGTTGGGGCGGAAATGCCTCCTAAATGTATGCTTTTATATTGATACTGAATTACAGAAACGTGCTAAGCAGCAGTTTAGGAATAAGATGTATGTATGTATGTATGTATGTACATGAACAGATTAGACTCAAACGAGGAAGAAGGTATGGAGTTGAGTATGGAGAAGAAGAAAGGATAAAGCAAAGATTAACAGAAGTAAGAGAAACCGAAACATGAAGACAAAGAGAAAGGTAAATTTAAATTCTTCATAGTATACATATGTAATCGCAAAGATGTGGGTGAATATGTAGATGGAGAAAAGAATGAAGATAAGGATCTGGTTAAAAGTTAAGGAAATGATAAATATAAAAAATAAAAGATAAAGATATAGAAAATAATATATGTAGATAAAGGTAGAGACAAAGACAGAAAAAGAAAGAGATACAATTGAAGAATGACATGTTAAGTTATTTTATGTTATGTTATGTTGTGTTATGTTATGTTATGTTATGTTGTGTTATGTTATGTTATGTTGTGTTATG